GTTAAAACCAACCATTTTCCTCCCTTCCTCATTTCTTTCCTCCAGCAAAATAACTAAATTTTTGCAAAATTGCAATTTTTCAAAACCAAACACAGAAACTGATGTGCTCGAGACGATCGGCCAGTCGTTCGACAGGTCGTCTCAAATACACCAGTTTGTGTGTTTAGTTCTGCTAAAATGACATCTGACCATTAGAGCACCATTGCTATAATTCTACCATTTTTTACTATTTATTGCCAAATTATAACAATGACAATGTTATTATAACATTTGCCATTAAAAATGCTCTTAGCTTATTTATTTAAAAATTACAATTATCTCAATAGAATCAAACTCTCTCTATCTATATGTCTCATGACCTATTGCACTCATAACCATTGAATCATATAATTAAGATTCTTTTAGGGTATGGCTTCTGTCTGGTTCGAGATCGGACTGGACCGTGCTGTTGGGCCTGTGGGGGCCCACCACGGGTCCCGTTTTGATAATCTGAATCGTTGCATGTGTAGAACTCGTCGAGTACTATATGCTTGTAAAAAATCACGTTGATCGGATATTGATAGCTATATGATCAAATCAGTTTTGTATTAAAAAAATTAGACGGTGAACAAATTAAAGTTGACAAAAAACTATTTGATCACATAACTATCGATATCCGATCAACCTAATTTTTTACAGACATATAGTACTCGACGATTTCTACACATTGCACGGTTCAGATTATCAAAACGGGACCCTTGGTGGGTATGTGAATCTCGGGTATAATTTAATAATTGATATGATCGGATATCGATAGCTATATGATCAAATCAGTTTTGTATTAAAAAAATTGGACGGTGAACAAATTAAGGTTGACAAAAAACTATTTGATCACATAACTATCGATATCCGATCAACCTAATTTTTTACAGACATATAGTACTCGACGATTTCTACACATTGCACGGTTCAGATTATCAAAACGAGACCCTTGGTAGGTATGTGAATCTCAGGTATAATTTAATAATTGATAGTGCATGTGTGCTTACCCATACCACTATATAATTTTCCATATAGATGGGTATGCTCACGAATCAACTAAGGCCATGTTTGTTTGGGCGGACTGGATTAACATTCTCATGACTAATAGTCCTAGGACTACGAATTCGTTGGATTATGTATTCTATCTTAGCTAATAGTCAAGTTTAAAATAATTAGTCCGTACTTCAATTGTTTAACCAAACATCGGATTAATAATTTTATTGGATTATTAGTCCAATCCCAAGCTCATGTCTACCCAAACAAACATGGCCTAAGTTCCTTGCAACTCCACTAAGGGTGTCTTTGTTTGAACAGACTAGATGATGGGGGATTGTAATCCATCGGACTATTAGTCTTGGGATACATTGTTCTCGGACTATTTGGTTGAACTGGATTTGTATCATATGTTTGTTTAGTCATGTGATTAGATGTCTGGATTGGATTATTTTTAATGAATTCAATGTTTGTTTGGGAAATTATGGAAAAGGATAAATGCTCAAATGACTATTTTATCCTTTTCAATTATTTACTAAGTAATAGCAATATTAAACATAGCTTTAATATTTTAATTATTTTTATCTAGATTAAATAAAAATTTATTTTATTTTATTTTTTGCACAATTAAATAAATTTATTTTAAAAAATTAAATAAATTAAATAAAAATAAAAATATATGTTATTTTTTAATTAAAATTTTAAATAAATTTATTTTAAATAATAATAATTATTAAATAATGAAATAAAATAAAACATCTATTAAAATTTAAATAATGAAATTAAATAAAATATAAACAAAATTTTAAAATAAAACATCAATAAAATATCTATAAAAAAATATTTTAAAAAATTAAATAAATAAAACAAAAATAAAAATTAAATAAAATTATTTTATTTTTAAATTGAGACATTTAAATTTTTTTGAATTTTACTAAATATAATACATAATTAAATACTAGAGGGCAAAAATGTAATTTCATTGTCTGATCCCATGGGATGAGTTATCCCCATAGTTTCTATCTCAACCTCCCCCTCATGGGATAGGATAGTCCGACAAATATGAGACTAATAGTTCGAAGCAAAACTTTTGAAACAAACAATGACTATTAGTCCGGTGGGACTAATAGGCCAATCACACATTTTAATCCTTCAAAACAAACACACCCTAAAAGGTTGGATGGTTCCATTTTGATTATTCAATTTGTTAATTTCTTAAAATTTTATGGGTAGATCATTTATAATATATATATATTGTCATGATAATTGTAAGCTATTTATTTTAAATGTATTTATCTTTCAAAAAATAAATAATATATTTTTTAAATTATAAAATTAAATCATAAGTTACAATTACCAAATCAATCTAATATTGCATGTGAATAAACTATACAAAATTCTAAAACATTATCAAATCAAATTATCAAAATAGAATCCACCATAAATACACTAGCTAAAATCGGACCAGTCCACTGACTTAGGGTCCGTTTGGGAAGAAGATTTGTGGCTAAAATAGCCTCAAAAGACAAAATAGGTTATTTTAGCCACAACAAACAAAACATCACATCCAACCCATAATCATTACACTATTCTCTCACAAAAAAAGTCAAAAAAGTTAAAAAGCCAAAAAGTCCTTCTCAAACTAAGCTTTTTAAACCAGGTTAAAATAGTCAAAAAAGCCAAAAAGTTAAAAAGCCAATCCACTTCCCAAACCAACCCTTTGTCGACTGGATCAAGGGGAGTCCATTTGCAACATACAAAACAAATATACTTGCAAGGATTCTAAATCATATTATTTATCAAATCAGCAATGTTAGGTATCATGAAAAATCTTTCATGAAAATAATCATGAAAGTTTCGTGACCCTTGGATTACACTTAAAATAAAACACCATACACTAATCAAGGTAATCCAAGGATCATAACTCTTTCATGATCATTTTCATGAGAAAATTTTTCATAATCCCTAACTTTTCTCTTATCAAATATCCTTGATAATGCGCATCTCACATACGAGTAAGATACAATTGGGCGTGGCTATAAGAAAAAAATTTCTTCTAAATTCTTTAGCTTCGGTGTGGATATTAGATTGGGAAGGGAATTAGTTGAAGTATGCATAAGCTGATCCAAACACTTTTTACTATTGAAAAAAAAAATAATAATAAAGGATACAATTTGGGAATTGAATATTTTTGTTAAAAAATTAAAATAAATTAAATTAAATCCATACAAGAAAGTGAAAGATTTTTTTTCTCATTTATTCAATTTTTTTGGCAAAAAGTTAAAAAATTTTAACTAAAAAATTTAAAAATCACCAAAAAAGTTAGTTTTCAAACAAATTTTAAATAAAAGAAAAGACAGTTGACCCAATAATCTATGTAATTTTGTCATTTGTGATTTTTTAGAGTGGTGCTATTAGTACCCTATGAATTATTTTGGATCCCCTATTTCTTTGGGCCTCCACTTATAAATTTTGAAACTCTCAAAATTTCTTTTTCCTCCCTAAATAATACCAAAATTATCCTTGTGAAAATATTTTATCCATTGAATGCACACCCCTCATACACCTACACCCTAAAAAAACCCTTGCTCCAAAAAATCCTAACAAAACCCATCAAGAATGAGAAGAGCCAATGTACTTACTATCTTTGCTACCTTAGCTATCATTATCTATCATCTTCTCTTGTTAGGGAAAAAATTATAATAATTGATTTGATTGGTAGATATTATAAAATTGTGAGTTCAATAGAGAACTACGCAACAATATTATCAAATGGCAGACTTATCGGTGCCAACTTAATTGGGATTGGTTTGTTTCGTTTTGATACTCTTTGCACTCATCGCTTTCTTTATTGATGTAATACTCTTTTGGTTCATTAATAAAATTTATCTTTTGCTAATCAAAAAAATATTACCAAAGCTATGCAATGAAGAAATAACTTTTGAACCTGATAATGGATTTGAGCTACTCCCGATAACTTCTGCAAGTGTTAAAAATTTTGACCATTCAATATGTTAAGAAATTTCCATGTTCGGACCTGTATTACCAAACATTACTTATTTGTTCGGGAAAGTAATGTTCGGGCTTGTATTTTCGAACTTGAAAAAATGAAAACTTCTGCAAGCTATTAACAATTTTGACCGTTTAATGTATTAAGAAATTTTCATGTTCAGACCTGCATTCCCGAACATTACTTATTTGTTCAAAAACAAATAAGTAATGCTCGAGCCTGTATTCTCGAACTTGAAAAAATAAAAACTTCTACAAGCGTTAACAATTTTGACCGTTCAATGTGTTAAAAAATTTTCATGTTTCGACCTACATTTCTGAACATTACTTATTTGTTCGGGAACATCATCCCAAACAAATAAGTAATGTTCGGACATGTATTTCGCCAAAGGGTTGCTACTGTTATCACGGAAATATTGCTACCAAAAGTTTTCAAGGTTTTGATGGTGAATAGGTTTTGAAGGTGGGATTTGGAGAATATGCATGGGTGGTGATGGAAGTGGGTACACTCATGAATTCTAATTCATGATGTAGTGGGTGTGTGTAGGTTTAATTATGAGATAAGGTGTCCTAAAATTAATGATATACTTTTTAGTAATTTTATTTTATTTGAAGTTATTATTATAATAAAAAAGAATTAAAAATTAAAAAATTTATAAAATACTAGCAGCCCCCTTTTTTTTTATTAGCCATAACATAATATCATCATTAAATATTCTTTCGAGGGAGAGAGGGGGTGTTTGTGTCAAGGAGGAGCATGATCAATTATATGACAGAGATTCTGGAGTAAGAAAGACAATGAGAAAAACCTTCAATCTCCTATTCTGCCACTTCAAATTTCTTTATATCATTATTCTATCCATAAAGGTCCATCTTTTTCATACTCCCCTTTTTTGAAATCTGGTGACCCTTCCATTCCATGTCTCTCCTCCAGCTATTATAGTCTCCCTCTCTCTCTCTCTCTCTCTCTCTCTCTCTCTCTCATCATATACATAAAATATATATAATTATCAAGATTATATAGCTGACAATAAAGAGAAACCAACACCAAACCTCACAACAAAAACAACACACAGAAAACATGGGCAGAGCTCCTTGCTGTGACAAAGCCAACGTCAAGAAAGGGCCATGGTCGCCGGAGGAAGATGCCAAACTCAAGTCTTACATCGACGAACACGGCACCGGCGGCAACTGGATTGCCTTGCCCCAGAAGATAGGTACTTAAAATCAATCACACACACATCCAAACCCTTCTTCCATATCTCTCTAAATAGTAATTTTTTGTACATACAACTCATCAAGTTAAATAAACTGTTAAATGTCTGGTTTTAGGCCTCAAGAGATGTGGCAAAAGTTGTCGGCTTCGATGGCTGAATTATCTACGGCCAAACATCAAGCATGGAGGGTTTTCAGAGGAAGAAGACAACATAATTTGTAGCCTCTTTTTAAGTATCGGAAGCCGGTAAGCCCTAAGCGTTTCAGATACTGATATTCACTGATATATAAACTGTTATCGGTCCATTTATGACTGTATCACTAATAAATAGACATATAGGGTTACTTTACTTTTGTATATTTTCATGTTTTGCATTGATCCTTTGTAGGGCTAAAAAAAAATATTAAACATGTCCTTTCCTTTCTCTTGGAATGCATAGGTGGTCGATTATTGCTGCGCAATTGCCGGGACGAACTGATAATGATATCAAGAACTATTGGAACACGAAACTGAAGAAAAAGCTAATGGGCAAGCAACGCAAAGAACAACAGGCTCGCTCCAGCAGCCTCCAGCAAGAGATGAAGAGAGAGATCAGTTGTAGTGAGGCTTTCATGGTTTCTTCAGAGGTCATCAACTCAGTTCCTTACTGGCCAGAGCTACCTGTAAACATGCTGGCAATGAATAATCCGAGCAGTGAGGACTATTTCAAGGACCAAACATCCATAAGGAAACTGTTGGTTAGTATAGGAGGAAGATTTCATGATGATGATCATCATGAACCAAACAACAACAGCACAAATTTTCAATACCCTTTTGATAATTCCATCAATACTTTTGCATCTACAGCCTCCATCAATTCCATGAACAGTTCTTGTTCTCAACAGCCCAACATGTTTGAAGGATTCAACAACAACTACCCAATTGAGCTAGCTAGTAATGAATTGGTCTATAATTCACCACAGCAATTAGATGTGTTGGAGAGTTTTTCTGGTGTGGACATGGTCAATGGCAGTGGCAGTGGCATTATTAGTTCTGCAGAGAGTACTAAGTGGGGGGAAATGATCAGTTCTCTGGTGTATCCTCCTATGGTGGCGTCCAATTATGAAGCTTTCCAAAAAAGGGTGATACAAGATTGCAGTTTCCAAGAGTCGAGGTACTTTGGGTTACAATAACAATCCTGCTGCAAATGTTGTGTGTTGGTGTTAGTGTTTCAGCAGATAGTATTGAACTTACTCAGAGATTTGTTTGTTTTGCACTATCACTTTCGTTCTGACAAGTAAGAGATTTCTGATATTTGCTTGATTTACTTGTAGTTTACTTATTATACTAGGATCTTTTTAATGCAATTTCTAGACTTAACATTTCTGTGGTTCATGCTGAGCATAGAATCTTAAATATATAGGAGTTTGGGTCCTAAAACTTCGACATTACAGTGAAGCCATTGGCTCTCCAAATTAGACTGTTTAGATATCGACTAATTCGTATCAAATTTTTGATTTTTTTAATATAAATGCACCTGGTATAGTGGTGACAACGAAAATTAAATGCGTTCACAATAGGAATCGGTTCATTGGTTTTCATGACGCGATTCACAACTAATACAACTGGCTTGACTGCTATAAACTCTTTTTCACGAGAGGTAATCTAACCGGTACCAATACTTGTGGATTTAGCAGCCGGATGAAGTAATAAGGGTGTTGCAGAAAGATCTGCACTTCCCTTTTACAACATAGGAGGGAGGGGGGGTCTCCTTCCTAGAGAGACTTTCAGATTACCTCCGCCCCTCTTTCTTAAAGCTACAACATCCTATTGATCCTTGCATCGGCTCTACTGGTTGGCTTTGCTATCAAGGCCATGAATTCTTTAGAACGGGCCGGCAGGTTGGGTGGACGGGTCTTTTGGATATCACTAAGCATGCCCCCTTCCCTGTGCTTTTAGCTTGATAAGAAGGTCCTTTTTCTTTGGCATCCTGCATGCTTAGTTTCCTAGATGGAGCTCTATCTTGAAGTCCGAGTTGATAATTTTAGTAAATTCACGACTGAGTCACTAAATTTTTGATGAGTATGGCTCAATACTCCTAATACTAGTACATTGCAATCAATACTCACAGTTTGTCTCCTGTATGTACAACCTTAGTGCAGTCATATATATTGAGACATAAAGTATAAAAAGTTTTGTACTATTTCCTAATCATAACGTAAAAGGTGTACTTAATTTATCTTTCTTTTTGATATATGAATTGAATTGTGTATATATTTTACAAAGTTCTTGCACCCTCCATGAAAAGGTAAGCAGGAAAGATGGAAAGGTACTTTGGCGTTTTGGCCACAAGCTATTGGTATCGGATGTAAGCATGTGTAGGGACTGCACTGAACTGGCACTGAACTGCTTTATTGTTATCTTCATGTCTGCAATTACAATAAGAAAGAGGTGCGAAAGAACTCACGCGCACGCGCAGATACACACATATTGCATTAGTCCATCTCATGTATTGCCAATGCGAAATCAATTCCCTAATGACTACACATATTTTAAGAGCATGTCAGATCAGATCAGATGTGCTGCTTCAAGTATCTCTAGTATTTCAAGTATCTATTACAGAAAAATTATCACATAGGTCCACCTCATATCCTGTGTGTATGTACTTACAATTTTATTAGTTACATGCCTATAATTTTTTATTTTTTCTCTCTTCTATATTACATAAAGCAACCAATGGACTCATAAGGCACAGCAGCCCTGCTGTGAGGTCTCGTAGAAGCATTTTTGTCAATTTTTTGATGATATGAACCGTTCATATTATAAAATTTATCGAGTATATCATTTATATAAAAAATTAAGTTAATCGGACGTCTATAACCCCATGATCAAGCCCTAATTGTTTAAAAAAAATTATTAAAATCATATTAATTGTTTATTTTTTGAAAAATAAATGTGCTCTTATTATGATACTACAAATATCCAATTTATTTGATTTTTTGCATGAATGATCTATTCAACGAACTTTACAATATGAACGGTTCGGATCATTAAAAAAGATTCAGGATACGTCCCCAATGGGTCTCACAGCTTAAGGCACAACAGGAACCCAACTCCTTAATAGATATATTGATTAATATTGTTTCCCTATCACCAATACTAATATATATAATGATTATTATTTAAAACCATGAGTCCAACGCAGGATGTGTCATTTTTGTTTTTTGGATAAGTGGTTGATTACCCCCAAAAAATAGCTAGTACTATCTGACATATGGCTGATATATGATTGTATTGTTAATATCCATACATATTATGATAATATTATTTAAAACCATGAGTTAAGTGGAGGATTTTTTTTTTTTTTTCATTTTTCATTTGATTACAAAAAAAAAAATTGCAAAAAAAAAAAAGAAAAGAATTTGTCCAAAGCAAGATTTATGTACTAAAATTTTGAACTTCTAATACTAATATATATTGACTGATATTGTCTTAGTTTATATATAATTGTATCATCGATATTGACACATATTAGGTCTAATGACTCTAAACTAATCTTTGGTAGCAAAAATTCTGAGTTTTACTTTAGCTAATTGTCAGCTTGAGGGATGAATCTGCCTTTATCATCTGGATAATGCTTTAGCTTTATAGGTGCTTTGCTTTTCTCTGAGGCATTTCATTTTGTGCATTGATTTTTTTAGTTGAATTTTTCTTGAGAAATTTACAGCAATAAAATTAAAATTTAATATTTTTGTGTATGGTGAAGTTAAAACCTGAAAAGTACCACATATAATCTTTTTTTTTACATTCCTTTCTTATTCCTTGATACAAATGAGTGGCCTAATGTGCACTTCATAAATGCGAAAATAAAACAAAAAATGAGATTATGTATAACATTGTTCTTGAAAATTAAATATAATGAAATGATTTTGTGGTGTAAATAGAATCACCCTCATCGTTGGGGGTATTTGGGGACAATTGTTAAAATAGATTATAAATTATGACTTAACGAATTAGAGATTATTACTTTAATAAGAAGTTGTTAATCTGTTCGGTGCAATTGCTGGATTATAAATTTAAGTTGCTAAATAGTGTTTTGTAAATAAGTTATGAAATTGTTTATTAATGTGTAAATATCATTTTTACCCTTGTTAATTGTAAATTAAATTAACCTTTATTAGTTGTAAATTGAATTAATTTTTATTTTTTATTATTCACTACTAGTCCATATTTTCTGTAATAAAATAAAAATGAAAATAATCCATAGTCTTGGAACTGGGTTGGAACGCTTTTAGGACCATAAGCTCTAGATTCAAGGGTTTCTGCATAGCCGAACACAAGGGAAAAATCGTTCTTTTTATCAAAAAAGATCGTTTTATCAGGTCATGGAGATGCTATAAGCATTCTTTTGGTTGTGTATAAGCCTTCCAATAGAAAGACTTGTATGCATCAAAAATCTCAAATTTACTATTCAAAAGGGACAAATTTTTCTATTCGAAAAAAAAAAAAATTCTTAAGTATAATCATAAATTAATATACCCACAACATAAGTTAATAATCAATAGTAAAGAATGGACAGCTTTTCAAAATCATATTTTTTGAATTAAAATAAGTTGTTAGAATCAGAAACTATTTAAAATGAGTTTAACCCAAGAGTCTAAAATAATTTTTCCAAAACTGAAATTTATAAATTGACCAAAATAAGCCAGTCTCCATGGCTTTCATATTAGGATGGTGTTTGGGAAGTGAGTTTTTATGTAGATTTTAGTAGATGTAGGTTTTTATGAGATAAAAAATTTTTGGTGTTTGGGAAGATAGTTGGGTTTTTATGTGGTTGGATGTGATGTTTGTGAGAGAAAAAGTGAAATGATTATGGGGTTGGATGTGATATTTTGTTTGGATGTGTTTTTTTTGGTTTTGCAAAACTTTTGTCTTTTAGTGGAAAAAATGAGAAAAAAATTTGGGAACTTGCTTCCCAAACACCACCCTAGAACTCTCTCTTAATTTAAACAGTTTTCCATTTCGCGTGTGATTCTCTTCTTTTCATTCAACTTTAAAAAGCTTTTTGGCCAGCATTATGAGAGACAAGACATGTTCATGCAAAGAAAAAAAATCAAAATGGATAGTTGTTCCCATTTAAATTGAAGTGAATTCGAGATGGTTACATTGCTTTTATTGAGGTTGATTCCATTTTTGTAATTTTATTTTAACAGCAATGCTAGGTATCATGAAAATTTTTTCATGAAAATAATCATGAAACTTTTGTGACCCTTGAATTACACTTAAAATAAAGCACCACAGAGTAATTAAAGTAATCCAAGGATCATAAATTCTTCATGATCACTTTCATGAAAAAAAATTCATGATTCCTAACTTTTCCCTTATTTTAAATGTCCTTGAATCCACGTACACCGTTCATCCAATGCTTGAAATACTTCATAGCGATTCAAATTCACCAAGACGATCACAGACACAGGAATCCATTGCCGACTTCTTTTCCTTTAGTTCTCTTCCTCTGTCCTATATTCACGGGTTAAATTCGTTTAACAGTAATAATTCAGACCCCACAAAACATCACCCCCACAACCCTCATTCACTTGTGATTGGTTCAAGTAAAAAAAAAAAAAAAAGCAACAACAACAACAATACAAACACATCATTGATTGACATCACTGCTGGGGTGGTGGAGGTCTTCCCAAAAGGAGGAACGTTTTCCTTCATTTAATTTGAAAATAGAATACTTTACTCCTTGTAATTCAAATACAATTAGAAAGTCCTCATATAATTTTAGACTAAAGTGTCACTGTTAAGTTTTCCACCCAAAATAATGGAAGGTGTATAACACACATCATTTTTACAGTAAGTATGGTTTTCAAAAAAAAATTAAGTGAAATTAATATAATAAAAAGACAATTTTACCCTCAATTTTCTCCAAATTTAGAATTAGATTAATAAAAAATTAAAATTAAATAAAATAAAATAAAATTAAGGATTGTTCTAAAATAAAAAATATAAGGGCAAATTACAGTAGCCTAAACCTAACCAATGAATGATAGGCCGGCTTAGGATAATAGAAAACGAATTCACTTTCAGTAATCGGAGGCAGGTCAGGGGCCGGCGGGCACGCCCAGCTTCTTCACGAATGGGGCCGGACCAATGCTACGAGCTTCCGGAATCCAATGGAATCTTCGTAAAGTCGATCATTACGAGTGTTACGATTCATTCGATTGGCAGGTCCAATCGATTCATAGCCTCTCGAGCACAACCCATATTCATGCAAGGATTGGTGATTGAGGATCCATACAGAATTTTATGAAATATCTTAGAGATCAAGGAACAGATGCTTTCTTCAGGAGAGATGAATACTATATGGTAGCGACAGGGAATTCTTTGGC